GGGAGGGGTGAGAAAATAAACTCACGTTGCCTTCGCTGAGCAAGTCATTGGTAGCACCTTTGCAGATTGCGATGCAGGCAAAACGGGCCTCGTGCGAATTGCTACTGAGTTTGAGACGGTCAAGAAGTGAACGGTCGTTCTGGACAAGGCGAGAAAAAAAGGGAAGAGGGACATTTGAAACAACAGGGCGTACAAAGACCCTCAGTTTTTAAAGAATAGGAACTGTAGAGTAGCTGGCGGGAAGTATAATACGAATTTGCTAGTTTTTCAGGTAGGCAGAATAGGACGAGTACTACGCAGTAAAATTCGATCAACATAAACTTCTGTTGCACAGGATACGAATGCTAATTGAGGGAAATTCTACCTTGTGTAGGCGAAATTTAACGAAAATAGAAATTCGTTCTCCTATTGGTGGAATTTAACGAAAAAATTTCAAGTCAGACTACCGAACATTTAAAAGTAGGTTTTAATTATAAGTCAACGGGATTTTTGGGGCCTCTAAAATCAATCCTGCCAAATTGGGTAAACTCGAATGCAGTTCCCAGACTGAAGTTGATTAGAAATGAAACTGGGTAGGGGTAGGAAGGGGTCGGCTAAACGAGAAAATTTTGTCTGGCAGCGGAAAGTAGTCATTCAATATGGAGGTGGACACCGAGTATTTTAGTGTCTTGCTTGTGTGGATCTGAATGTAAGAACTTACTTCAACTAGTAAAATAAAAGCCGACAGACTGGTGTTGTAATGTTCGGAGTCAAGGTCCTCCCCTTCGGCCACTCCACGACGAGAGTTAGCTGAAGACCAATGTGGAGAAAGAAAGCAAAACTAGTTAGTTCTCAGTATTATTATTAGTAGCGGCATTATAAGTGATAATGGTGGTAGTGATGGTGGTGGTAGCAGTTGACCGCTGAATCGAGAAAACAGGAGAGGCAACCTCTTCGAACAAGACAAAACCTGAAATCTGCGATACAAAACCGGCGTTCTTAGCGCCGGGCCATTAGATTTTGGAAGCGCTCACCTTATTTTCTTAGGGTTGAATATATGCCTACCTTTTGGGCAAATATTTAGTATGAAGAGAATGGGGAAGTCGTACCCCTCAAAAGATACAGAACTTCATGATATCATCGGCACACTTCTATGCATGAGACAGAACCAAGTCCTTAACTCCAACTACAATAAGTACAGGGGAGCCCCGTGTGACGAGTAGACCCAACTACAAACATTTCAGGTAACGAGCGAGCCACTGACAGACAGAAAGACGAGCTTCCGCTCTGCTAACGAATTGATGCACTCGGA